TCTCACACACACACACACACACACACACACACACACACACACACACACACACACACACACACACACACACACACACAGACACACACCCCAAGCTCTGGTTGCAAAAAAAACCCTACTGTAACTTCCAGGTTTGCCCACAAATGAACCTGAAAGGCATATAGCAAGAGAGAGAGAGGTCCTTGAAAATAATGGTCCTCAACCTCCACGTGGCTGGTTCAGGCTTCTCAAATCGTCTTGCCTGGCAATCGTTCATACATTTTGGGATGGGGTGCTTGAGAGTCCAAAAACCCTCTGCTGTCATTGTCTCCTTCCGCCTCTTGTCTCCTCGCAGTCTCTGTCCGGCAGCATTTCTCCGACAGCGACCTCCTCTACCAGTTTCGCATCAATTTCCGCCGGAGGAGGCGTCTCACGGAGCTGCTTAACGAGAACTCCTCCAGGGCCCTCTTGGACAGCCCGGACAGCCCCTTCTGCCTCCGGAAGCTCAATCCTGAGCCGAACAGTTCTAGCTTCCTATCAGGTGATTTCAGACTGGGTTGCCTTTTTATGTATGTATGTATGTATGTATGTATGTATGTATGTATGTATGTATCTTGGCTTTTGTGGAGAGGGAAGAGGATGCTATTGTGGAAACACCTCCTATCTTCAAATCTGGGTGGCTGCTGTTTTTCACCAAATTGGGCTCCGAGGGGGTGAAACTTATAATGGAGGGACCTAGACCGTGCTTAGCCGCTTCCTCCACTCTTTCGTCTGACACTTTCGGCACAGAGAAGGTGCTTAACTCCGTCCCTCACCTACTAGTTTCCAGCTGACCCTACATTTTGTTCCATGAAGGGAATCCTTAAGGGTTTTCCTCACTTACTTCTTGGCCTACAATTTGAGCGAGAGGAAAGTTGATCCTTTCCCATCATCCGCTGCTCTAACACTTACCCAGACGAAGGGGAAAACGGCCACAAGCATATATTTTTCAAAGAAGTGGCTGTGATTGTGCAGGCAAATCAAGACAAAATTAAAAGCAAGCAAGCAAATCAAACCAAACCAAACTGAAAAAACCTCCCAACTGTTAGAGAAGTACAACAATGACGTCAGGAGGTGGTGAGCCCTCCAACACTGGAGGCATTTGAGAGAAAATTGGACCGCCATCTGTCAGATCTGCTGTGATTTGGATTCCTTCCTTGAGCAGGGGGTTGGACTTGATGGTCTTATAGGCCCCTTCCAGTTTCATTATTCTATGAAATATAGAAAACAAAAATATTGTAGCACTTTAAAGACTGTTATATTTCAATGTAAACTTCATGAATACATCCACTTCTTCGGAGTGAAGCTGTAACTTGTGTTTTTGCATCACTAAAATGTCTAAAGTAGATGCATCTATGAACGCTCACATTGAAATAAATACAGTGGTGCCTCGCTTAACGATGATAATCCGTTCCAGGAAAATCGCTGTTAAGCGAAAACATCGTAAAGTGAAATTAAAAACACAATTGAAATGCATTGAAACCCATTCAATGCGTTCCAGTTGGGTAAAAACTCACCGTCCAGCGAAGATCCTCCATATGGTGGCTATTTTCGCTGCCTGTATAGCGAGGAATCTGTCCCTAAACACAGCGGGGAGCCATTTTAATTACCTGGAAGCCATTTTGAAACCACAGATCAGCTGTTAGAAAAACATTTTGCGAAGAATTGGTTCCCAAAGCAGGGAACCGATCATCATAAAGTGGAATTCCCCCATTTAGACCATCGTTTTGCGATCGCAGTTGCGATCGCAAAAAGACCATCGTAAAGCGGATTCATCGTAATGTGGGGCAATCGTAAAGCGAGGCACCACTGTACATTTTTAATGTGCCACAACATTGTTGTTTTCTGTAATTTTTAAAATACACAAGAATATATACTTAAACCCTTCCTTTACCTGGTAGGTATTTTTTTTCTGTTTGCTATAACCTTTTCTTTTCTCCCCTCTCTGGGGAAAAAACACCACAAAGATGAAACTAAAATGTTGTATATAGCGGGAGAAGGTGAAGGAGCAACAGCTAAGAGAAGCAAAGGACCGATTTGCAAGAGGGAAGTAGTAGGTGGGTGAAACATTAAGGGGCCACCTTCCAGCCCTGAATTCTTCCTTGCAAATTAGAGCCAGGCAGTGAGACATAAGGATGAGGAAGAATGTGTAAATAGATTATTTTGTGCTGCTGCTATTACTGTAACAAATAAGATGGAATATCTTCATATATAGTAGGAACCCTTTATCCATAGAATCAGTATCTACTGATTCACTTGTCTACAGTCTGAAAGTGTTAAAAATGTTAAAAGAAAATTTCCCGGAAATATATATTTCTAACCATGAAGTTACCAGAACTGGCCACTAGAAGGAGCCAGAGACCATGCTATGTATACTATTTGCTGTTAAAGTTGTTTTCACTATAATCTGCATTATTCAGCATCCATGGGGTGGTCTTGAAACCAATCCCCCATGGATATGGAGGTTCTACTGTGTTTAAAAGGAGTGACCTTGGCTTGAATCAAGCCAAGGAAAACTCAACTTTCACATACAGGATTCAGATACAGCAGTGTCAAAAAGCTCTCAACTTTCTCCTTGAGGGATGAAACAATGCCTGGAACCCATCTGGTTATGTATACCAGCCTACATGCAATGGCATAAAGCACAAGAGTAAATTCCCACCTGTAACCTGTCAAGTGCTTGCACTCTCTTTGTGTGCCAGTCCCATGATGCAGCATGGCAAAAGGAATACAAGTTGTGATATAATTTGTTGTTTAGTCATTAAGTGGTGTCCGACTCTTCATGACCCCATGGACCAGAGCACTCCAGGCCCTCCTGTCTTCCACTGCCTCCCGGAGTTGGGTTAAATTCATGTTGGTAGCTTCAAGGACACTGTCCAACCCTCTCGTCCTCTGTCGTCCCCTTCTCCTCTTGCCCTCACACTTTCCCAACATCAGGGTCTTTTCCAGGGAGTCTTCTCTTCTCATGAGACGGCCAAAGTACTGGAGCCTTAGCTTCAGGATCTGTCCTTCCAGGGAGCACTCAGGGTTGATTTCCTTCAGAACGGATAGGTTTGTTCTCCTTGCAGTCCGGGGGACTCTCAAGATTCACCTCAGCGACACATTAATTAGTAGCAATTCACTGCTGCGCTTAACATGCCAGCATTAACAACCAATAGGATTATGGCCTGTGTTGGGGGGGGGTGTTTCAGTGTTGTTGTTTTTTGTTTGTTTCAGCTGATCTTTGTCCCTTTCAGTTCAACCCAATAAGGAAATCAAAATCATCTCAGCGGTTCGAAGGAGCAGCGTGACCTCGCTTGCTGGGGGGTCTAGTTCCTACTTTGGTATCTCTCCAAGTCCGGGGTTCCCGCCCACCGTGGAGTGCAACCCCAAATCTGGTGAGGAAATCTTCTCTGTGCTTCCTTTTGCTTCTATGTAATGTCAGAGGTATCATCAGAGGTGACTAGGAGCTAGTTATGGTGATGAAAATTCAGAATCAAGACTATGGACGAAAATATATGTGCATTGAATATTACCTACATCTGCATTTGTTTATTTCATTTACACCCTACAACAAATAGTGTTTCAGGCATGGCAGATCATGACTCAGGAAAAGTGATAGCCCTGGCAAAAAGTTTAGGATAAGCCACCCCAAACACACACACACCACGGTTCACAAACCACCCCTGTCAGGCTGATAAAGCATTGATTGCTAAACACGCATAACTGAAACAGGATAAAAACAAAATGCAAGCCGATGAAAAAGAGAGAAAAGCAGATTAAGTACTCAACCGAGAAAATCACCAAAAATCAAAGCTACAAAAATAAACACCCATGAAGGAAAAAAAAGTTACAATGAAGGTTTAAGGAGAATTCTGACCTTGAAATAACATCTCAAAAGGTTTCCCTGGGGGACCGCAGCTGCTGGAGAAACATTCAGCTATCTGAAGATCATCCCCTCATCGGTTGACCGGGTTCCAGGGCAATGTGTAACAGCAGCTTTTTCCTCAATACACGTAGTTCTATCCTACTTTTCACCCTGTATTTAATTGCAAAATAATTATAATAATGCTCAGCCCTCTTATTTTGCCTTGTGAGGGTTTCAAACACCTTCACGTATGGGATATCTGCAGTCAGGGCTATTGTAGGGAGTTAATCCAATTCAATTTATGTACCACCAGTAAGATCTGGTGTTTGGAGGTTGTTTGTCAAGGTCCACATCCTCGTTAAGGGGTCCCTTGTCACCATGGAGCCCCTCCCCCCATGCCTGTTCTTTTCTTGCCTGTTTGTTTATTACATTTCTACCTTGCCCATTTATTTATTTATTTATTTATTTATTTATTTATTTATTTATTTATTTATTTATTTATTTATTTATTTATTTATTTATACCCCGCCCATC